GATTGTCTCTTTAAAACTTATGTCACTCTGCTTGGTTGTGTGTCTTTAGAACTGGCTGTCTTTCTTTTGGTACTTGGTTGTGTGTCTTTAAAAATTGTTGTCTTTCTTTTAGTACTTGGTTTTGTCTTGGTGTATGCTTGAGTTCGTGACATATGGAAACTCTCTATCTATGGAATTGATTTACTACTACTCTCTATCGTTAGCCACCATTTGCAGTTGAGATGTTGTGATCACATGCTCAATTTATTTGGTGTGACTATAGACTGGATATGCATATTGGTGCCTTTACTCGTGACTGAGAGTTTGAGTGGTCAACTCAAAGTGGAACCATTGAACGGATGCTGCACTTTGGTAAGAAAAGTTTTGAGTTACTGCAAGTATAGACTCAGTCAAGACCCTTAATTAGTGCTAAACACAAAGCATTCCTTTTCACATTATTGCTTCTTGAACTAAGATTTTGCCTTGATTTAACACTTATTGATGTGTGGATGAGAGCAAGATGACATATTACACGCAATGAATCTGGAGCTAGAAGGTGTAGCATAAATGAGCAGCCAAAAACCTCACAAGAAAGAAAAACTCTGAAAGCTTCCTAAATCTGAAACATTCCCCCAAGTGTTCAACCTTGTATGCGCCGATCATCAAGAGCATTTCTCGTCGAGAGATATCGACTATCTACATCAACATCGTATTCGCCCAAACTGCTTAGCAAAACGCTTGGACGCTTGAGGAGTAATTGGAGAGGTGGATTCATAAACAATAAGACCCTCCAAGTCCAATGCTTCCCGAAGAATCAAGTTATAAGAAGCAAATTTGTCCAAAAGCAAAGAGACAATTGGGAAAAAGTGAAAGTTTCCAATTGATAAGGTCTTGATTGCTTCATATTTGACTTGCATATGCTCTAAACCAGCCATGTATATTATTAATCCGACCGGTTTGGGTCGGTGATAGTAAAAACGACATCAAATCTCTATATTTGAAAGTGTAACCGAGTATTCTATTGAACGTGACGACATAAAAATCCAACAACACACACTTGAAACCAACCTAAAGAAGGTTGGATCGAATTCAAAATTGGGCAAGATGACTTGTTTTTTCCTCGAATTTTACCGCCCAATTTTCTA